TTTTTTTAAGAGACAGGTATCACTGTGTCACCCAGGCTGGTCTTGAACTCTGGGGCTCAAGCAGTCCTCCTGCCTTGGCCTCCTAAAGTGCTGGGATTACAGGCGTGAGCCACCTTCCCCAGCCTGAATACTAAATCCTTACATGTCCTTGGATTTCTTTCTAGGGGTCCTCTTCTGATTCATTGCTCTTTCTGCCTGTTTCTCAAGTTTCATGCTGTTAATACAAGTCCCTTCTCAGGGGCTATTTTTATCTATGTTTTTTCTTGAGGCTATTACATCTTTATAATCATAAGGGGATAGCCTTAAACTGATACTTTTCATTTACTCAGATCTTTAAGTCTTACACATTTCTAATTAAGTTTATTCTAAGGCATAGTTCACTGTTAGAATTGTGAATGAGGTCTTTATAATGTTATACATTCTAATCAGTTATTGATGGACTGTAACAAAACAACTGATTAGACCAGGCACAGTGGCTCAGGCCTGTAATCTCAGCAATTTGGGAGGCCGAGGCAAGCGGATCACTTGAGTTCAGGAGTTCAAGACCAGTGTGGCCAACATAGTGAAACCCCATCTATACTAAAACTACAAAAATTAGCCAGGAGTGGTGATGGGTGCCTATAATCCCAGCTACTTGGGAGGCTGAGGCATGAGAATCGCTTGAACCCGGGAGGTAGAGGTTGCAGTGAGCCAAGATTGAGCCACTGCCTTCCAGCCTGGGCAACAGCAAGACTCGGTCTCAAAAAACAAAAGATAGCTTATTAGAGTATAATTATGTTGATACTAGTTACAAGTTTCCAGAGCCTTAGTTCACATGCGCTCCTGTGTTCTAGGTGTGGTTTGACCGAAGAACCAATTATACCCGTTCTTTAGCGGTCATGTCAATGGTTGGGTATATTTTAGGCCTGGGAGATAGGTGAGTAATTTAATTTGGTTTTTTAGTCTTCTTTCTCCATTGTAGTTTTCCTGAATGGTTTCATTTGGTTTTCCAATTAAATATATGGCTCTTTGGTAAATAAATATTGGTATTGTGTATGTAAGGTCTCTTTTACAACATTAGCCTTAGTTCCCTGTTGTTTGTGATGCCATCAGAACGATACATCAAAGTAAAGAAAAGGAAAAATAGTTCAAGCTGGGTGCAGTGGCTCAGGCCTGTCATCCCGGCTATTCGGGAGGCCAGGGTGAGAGGACCATTTGAGCCCAACGTGGGCAATAGCAAGACCCATCTCAAAAAAGCCCCACATAGTTCAAGGATAGTACTTTCTCCTTAGGTTGGCTTAATGTATTAAAAACTGTATTACAGGGCAGGCTCAGTGGCTCATGCCTATAACTCCAGCACTTTGGGAGGCTGAGGTGGGAGGATCATTTGATCCCAGGAATATGAAACCAGCCTGGGCAACATAACAAGATCCCATCTCTACAAAAAATAAACAAAATAGTTAGCCAAGCATGGTGGCTTGCACATGTAGTCCCAGCTCTTTGGGAGACTGAGGTGGGAGGATCATTTGAGCCCAGAAAGTCAAGGCTGCACTGAGCTGTGATCGCACCACTGCACTCCAGCCTGGGCGACAGACTAAGACTGTCAAAAAAAAAATTATTGATTTTTTATGATTCAATAAACATTTGTCAATAAACACTGTGCTAAATCATTTTATTTCTGTAATTGAAACCAACCAAATTAGATCCTTCTGATATTTTTGCATAATAAGTTCACATATACTGACTGAAAATTAATTTAAGAATGTTCAGAAATGGACTCACAGGAATGTAAAAGAGACTGGTTCTCTGATGTCTGCTGTTTTTCTCCTGGAATCATGTCTCATGCAGCTATTTGAGAGTAAAAATAATTTTACCCCACAAAAATAGATTTTTGTTTTAAAAAGTCTGGCAAAATGTCTGCTGATGAAAGGCAGGTGGTGGCCGGGATTGGCTCAGAGGCTTAAGGAGAAGAGACCCTGTTACTGCTCAGTAAAAATGATAGAGCCTTGTCACCTGTAGGTGCCAGTGCTGCCAGAAACTACTTATTAGGTCACCAAAGACCCCAGAAAAGCACCGTATCTCAGTACAGTGGGACAGGCTATGATTCACACACCTAAACCCCTATTACAGCGGTAGTCTGCAAACTGTTTCTGTAAAGGACCAGTTAATAAGTTGTTTTAGGCTTTGTGGGCCCTGTGGTCTCTGTCACAACTTCTCAACTCTGCTGTTGGAGCACAGTATCTACACAAGGGAATGTGCTATGTTCCAGTAAAGCTGGACTTGTAGAAGCAGAGATGGAGGGGCTGGATTGGCTGAGGGCTGTCATTTATCAACTCCTAGCTTACAGTATCACGTACTTATTGATATTTTTCATCTGTGCTCTCTGTTGATCCCTCCCTGATCTCTCTGCTGTTTCTCAAAGACACCCATCCAACCTGATGCTGGACCGTCTGAGTGGGAAGATCCTGCACATTGACTTTGGGGACTGCTTTGAGGTGAACACATGTTCTAGAACCCCAACCTCATCTTCCCGGGTGATCACTTTTCCCCCTCCTCTGACACTTGAGGCAAACTTAAGCCTAAACTGCCTCACTTTTACCCCTGCTACTCCTACCAAGGCTGTAGTTAAGTCAGTCAAAGAAATGAAATCTGGGTTCTTAGTTGGACTTTAACAAAACCCCTTGGGGTAAGGGCTGCTGTTCACACGCCCTCTCTGAGCAGAGGAGGCCCCCATTCTCCACACTGCCTGTTGTCCAAGGGCCTGGGAACCATGCACATTTGTCTTTTTTCCTTTTTGCTTTCCCTTCTTTTCTGTTTGTTTGTTGTTTTTTAAGTTGTCTTTTAAATCCTTGTGACAAGTCCTCTCACTAAACCCAAAGCTGCTTCACTTCTCTGCTCTAATTAAAATCGGTGTGGGTGATGCAGAGGAAAGCCACCTGCTCCATCTGGCTCCAGGTAAAGAAAATAAACATGGATTTGGCTTTTCCCATTTATTATTCTGTAGGTTGCTATGACCCGAGAGAAGTTTCCAGAGAAGATTCCATTTAGACTAACAAGAATGTTGACCAATGCTATGGAGGTGAGTGGATATTGGGAACAAGCTGCTTGGAAATGGGATCAGGACAGTTGCAACCTTCTCTGAGGACACACTTGCTTGTTAGAGCTCATCAGTTCCCAAAAATACCTATGTGATTTTTGTAGCAGTTTTCTGTTATTGCCTATTGTGTTAGAAATGATCCATCTATGAAAGGCTTACCACTTCACCTCTGACCTGGCTTCCGAACGTGGACCACAATCCTGCCCTCATTACTTCTCCTAAGACATTCTCAGCCTGATACATCAGTATGGCCTGTGTCTGCTTGTCTGCTTCCTAAGTGAGGGTAACAGACCCCCTCAGCTTGCTTTGGGTGGAGAGTTAGTAACTCCTGTGGTGAGTGGCTCTGTCCCATTTCTAGGTTACAGGCCTGGATGGCAACTACAGAATCACATGCCACACGGTGATGGAGGTGCTACGGGAGCACAAGGACAGTGTCATGGCCGTGCTGGAAGCCTTTGTCTATGACCCCTTGCTGAACTGGAGGCTAATGGACAGTGAGTATCAAGTGCCTGGGAGCTGAGCTCTGTGGCTCACACCTGTAATCCTAACATTTAGAGAGGCCAAGGCAGAGGGGTTGCTTGAGGCCCGTAGTTCAAGACAAGCCTGAGCAGCAATAGTAAGACCCCTCTCTACAAAAACTGAAAAAATTTGGCATGTATTAGTATGTTCTCACACTGCTGTAAAGAACTGCCTGAGACTGGGTAATTTATAAAAGAAACAGGTTTAGTTGACTCACAGTTTCGCTTGGCTTGGGAGAACTCAGGAAACTTACAATCATGGTAGGAAGGGAAGCAAATACATCCTTCTTCACTTGGGGGCAGAAGAGAGAAGTACAGAGCAAAGAGGGGAAAAGCCCCTTTTAAAACCATCAGATTGGCTGGGTGTGGTGGGCCTGTAATCCCAGCACTTTGGAAGGCTGAGGCGGGGGGATCATCAGGTCAGGAGATCGAGACCATCCTGCTAACACAGTGAAACCCCATCCCTACTTAAAATACAAAAAATTAGCCAGGCATGGTGGTGGGTGCCTATAGTCCCAGCTACTTGGGAGGCTGAGGCAGGAAAATTGGTTGAACCCAGGAGGCGGAGGTTACAGTGAGCCAAAATCATGCTACTGAACTCCAGTCTGGGCAACAGAATGAGACTCTTGCTCACAAAAA